ATATCTATAGTCAACATTACAGTATAAAATATTCTCAGCGCATACTATTCTAAAGCTGCACGTTTAAAATGGTGCATACGTTTTAGCGAAATAGTCCTCGCTATGAAGTCATAACATTTTAAGTTGTACACGGAACACGTGAGGAGATTCATTAATGGAAAATGCGGAGTAGCTAGATAAACACGCGTGTTGTATACGTTTACACGCAATATCGTTAGGAATAAGTTTCTAAGTACACTTATGTAAACACATGTCATATATTCACAAGTTTATTTTATTTAAATTACAAACAATTTAGAAGATTAACAATATAGATCATCAATCCTCAAAAATCAGCGGCGTTATTAAAAACTTCTTTAGATTGTCTCCTCTCTTAGTTTTCCTTATCCTATATTTATAAAATTCAATCTAAATGAACGATAACTTATAAGTGCAAATTCTTGAAAATAATTTAAACTAGTGATTTGCCTAATTTATTAAGAATATATTTTACTTAAATAATAAATACGACAGTAAGGAATAAAATATTTAAAGATACTTAAAATATTAAAATATTATTTTAAATATATATAATGCTTTTTCAGTGAACTTTTGAACTTTTAAAAAATTCTGTAGAAAGTGTATTAAATAAATTAAACTTTAATCTATATAACCAAATTGAGGAATTCGCCAATGATACTTGCGCTCTCCTGTCATCCTCTTGATTCTTAAGGTTTTCTCTTTTCTTTTCTTCTTCGCAAACTTATCTCATTTTCCCGCAGGGGACAATATCGTTTAGTTAAAGAACTATTGATATAGATATACGAAGGATGTATATAATGACATGTACAGCAAATTAAAATATATAATTAATACGTTTAAATTAAAACTACTTATCCTTAATTTTTTATTTGCTTATTTGCATTTTATTTAATTTTATTACGAAATGTATTCTGATAAAATAACGCGCATTGAATATGAAAGGCAAAACTATTTTTTACATGAGTAAAATGTTACGGTTGAAAAACTTGTTTTAAAAATATTCGACATTTTTCACAACAGACAAATGGATAATGATAGCCAATAGATTGTTATATAAATACGGCTATTTATACATGTTCGCGAAGTGAGAAAACCACGATCACGCTTAAACGATAGAATCCATCGCTCTATTTGCCGATTAAATATTGGCACTTATCGAACTTGGAGTGTGCAAGAAGGGAAGATAAACTAGTATTTCTTTAAATAAAAAAAATATTTAACAAAAATTAGTAAGTTATAAAAAGCAATAGTAGTCAAAACATTTTAAAAGTCTCTATACGTTATTGAAAGTTATGACCGCAGTTTCATTGAATATAAAAGATAATAAGCATGTATCGGTTTAGATTTCGAGATAGATGTTAAAACTCTAAGGAGAGAAATAATAAAGATAAAGATAAAATTTTAAAGATAGTGCTCGGTTGCAAAACGGTTATGTATATTTATATAAACAATATATATAACATGTATATTTTATTAAAAATATAATTTGCATTAATAAATTATATTTTAAAAAATCTATTTCTCTTTTAAATAATCCATCCCGTAATATAAAAC